ACAAATGCATACAGTGAATGGTTGCCAGAGAACTTTATTTTATTATTTAATTGACATAATTTGACCATTTACCAGAAATAAGGTATTATTGGCCACTCTAAAACAGTAGTTGTAGTGGTGGCTACACACTGCAACTTGATCTGCATGCTAATGCAAAGGCATTTCTGATGCTGGTATTGGTATCGTAACAACTCCACTAAAAATACTAACATTTGGATTCAAGGATTACGTTGCAGGTGACTAGTGAGAACAGTGGTATGCAAGGTCTGCAGCTCAGAAATCAGTAACACAACCACCACAGCATCAACTTCATCCATCTCTATAAAACCCACAAAGAAACTTTGATGTGTCTTTTTAGCTAACTTATTAGCTTATTGGCTTATGCTCTCACTGTAGAGCCCCTTAAGAGCTACAGGGTTATAATTTCAAAGCCTCAATCTCCATTGTTGTCCATTTAGGAGGCTTATTATTGATTGCCACTAAATGTCAATTATCAGTAAATTTTATAAGGTTGTAACAGTCCTAATTAATGTTGAACATAAAGCTTTTTATGACCACTGTCTGTGTCACTGATTTAAATATAGAAACTTGATTAGATGATCAGAATTTAAAATGAACTGACTCGTGACTTGTTTGAACTGAGCAATGACTTGACTTGTCAGAGCAAGGACTCAATGTGTTTGATTCTCACCCACAGAACCTGGGACTTGCTTGAGACTTGAAGGTTGAGACTTAAGACTTGTTTGTGACTTGCATGTGTGTGACTTAGTTCCACCTCAGTCTGCATCAGACCCACAGGAATAAAATCCAACCAACAGGAAGCAATACCTCAAAAACATGATGTAACCTTCCAAAAAAAGTAGCAGTAAAAAGTACTGAGTTTAAGACTGCTGGTGTGACCGAATACTTGGCTTGTAAGACCTTCAATCACGGCCCGACACCAAATAAATCAAAGAGAAAACAAGTCAAAAGAAGGAGAGTGAACGAGAAGAGAGGAATATAATCAGTGCACCAAAGCTTATTGTTCACTTAGAAAGCAGCAACAATAGTTGTGTTGTAGCGTCTCATGTATTTTCTCTAATTGCCTGTTGGAAACAAGTTTCTTTCTTCCTGATTTGTAATGAGTTTGCAATCCTCGGTTGGAACCTATATGATATGCATATCAACACAGAAATTCATACCAAGTATTAATATGTGCTTAAGTGGTTCTTACAGTTGTTATGCACCGAATTACTGAGGCAAATTCTTTCTATATGAAAACCTACATGGCAGTAAACCTAATTCTGATTTGGATGGTAGGTGAAAATAATCCACAGTCCTCAACACTGACATATATTTGGGAAAGAATTAATGCATTGTTACTGAATCACACTCTGAGAATGACGTTTATCAGTGTTGGAATTGTGTGTTTCTCAGAAACGTGACACTGTGACGTCTAAAGGTTCTCTCATATGTAAAAAAGAATAAGTGTCTATGGTTGTATCCAACTGCATCTGCATCCCAGACTGGATTTGTCTTCTCTGTTGATCCTGTCTCTGACTGTGGAGACGTGGAAGTGAGAAATATGTGTAATTATCAAATTGCCATAATTGGATAATTGGAAATTAGGAGAATCCAGGGAGGCTTGTGGAGCAAAGAGATCACTATGCCCTCAGTTTGCAACTGTAAACACACGAATACACACACACACACACACACACACACACACACACACACACACACACAAAGCCGCATTCTCATCTAAACATTCAGATCTCAAGACCCAATTCACACACATGCACGAAAGATGTATTTTTGACAACCTATGTTTTGGCGTGTGCTCTTCTCGTCCCATTTCTGGCTCTACTGTATTTCAGGTTATTTTGAGCAAGTAGAGCAGTGACTTCTGGGCTCTCCCTCTGTGTGACATGACAGCAGGTGCTTTAAATGAGAGCACAAAGTAGGTCATGACTTTCATTAATAGGCCCTTTACAAGATTAGTTTGAAAAGCACATTTTATTCTTAAAAAAAAGTCTTTGTTGTGCTGTAAAAATTGCACATTTCATGTTCCAGAGAATTATAAGATGCTGGTACTCAGTCTCAGCTGTGGTGTATGAGTTTGTAAATCCAAATCTTGACCTATTTGGCTCATAGATCAAGGGAGAAATGTTCTGTACCACATGGAGCACAATTGAGGAGGAGGGCAGTTGTGTATTGTTGTCTGAAAGGAGCTAATCCCCACTTACATCAGGCTAATCTCGCAGTCTGTTTATCACTGAAAAAAACAACACTAACAGAACCTTAAGGGGCTCCGTATGAAACTCAAAGATTTTGACAATAACCTGTCAGCATGGTTAACCTATGAGACAACAGGACCAACACTGAGACAGTTGAAAATGAACTTGAGAGGTAAAGTGAGGCTGATAAACAGATGAAACAAGCTGAAGAAAATGAGTCTGATCAAAGCACGCTGTACGGGCCACAGCAGATCAGGTTACCCAGACAAAATGCTTGAATAAAGAGCCCCATTCAGCCTTTCCTGGTTTTATGCATGTTCAGGTCAGAGCAGGCTCAGCAGGACATGATAATTCAACATATTTCCCTTACAGTATTTCACCAAATTGTGACTCATCAGTACGCTAATGTTTGTCTGTCACTGTTTTCCTGAACTGGTGACTGAAGTCCAAACAATAATGAATTTTTGTGGCCAATATTTTGATAATTTAGAGTTTTAAATGATTTGCATACAACATTCAGAGCATTGGTATAGCAGCAAACCAGTATTTGCTATAAAAAGATATCGTGAAGTAATGGTTTCCTGAGCAGAGAATGAAGTCAAGCCACCTCTGTGTGTGCTGTAATCCGAGCTTCTCCGTGGTCTGTTGTGCTAGCAGCATGTACATGTTAGTGCATGTGTGTATGACACTGACTAGCTCATAGCCACAGCTTTGCACTTTGCTCATACTGCAGTTACCGGTGATATCTGGATGCTGTTGATGTGGAAATGTAGTGCCTGCCCTCCAGTTCCTAACACTGTTAGCTCTGTCAGCACTGTTAACGTCGTTGAGAACTGTGTCTGGAAGGACTGGGAATCACTCGAGGATCCCAGATACAGTATTATCATGATACTTTAGTCACGATACAATATTATTGCAATTTTACATGTGTTGCAATATGCTGCGATAAAATACATTTTGATATGTTGTAATTTATTACCTGTTTTTTAACTGTAAAAGGCAACTGATCATATTATTTAAGTAGGCAACATTAAGTTTAATTCATATTTATAATATTGATAATTTATATAATTAAAAAAGTTGATACTTGGCACTGTGTGACGATACCATATTGCCACACAAAAAATATCGCGATACAATGCTCTATCAATTTTTTTCCCCACCTCTACTGTCCAGACACTCTGAATTCCACATTGAGCACCTTTAAAAAACCTTTTATGATTATGTTAACACTTTTTTTGTTTTGTTTTGGGTTATTTTTGCAATGCAAGTCTGTAATTTCTTCATCACTAAACAATGTCGTGAGTCGCCCCAAAGAAAATCTAGAATGAGAGTATTAAAGTCTTAAAGCAGAGATACTCAGAGGAAGCTGGTTCAGAATATAATAAATCACAGGCACACTCATCATTTTAATTAACAGACTGTATTTTACCCTTCAACCTAAGTTTAATTTTAGTCCATCTGCCTCAATCAACTGTCATTTTATTTTATCTTTTTTACTTGAAGTAATTTTATGAGGATCCCTGACTCCCTGGTGGACAAACTATGTAATAATGACGCTGTTTCTTAAATCTCTCAAACACATTCTTGGCATTTCTTCTTAATTATTGGCCAACATGTACCAATTTACCTGCAGTATAATAATATCAGTTGTTTAGTGAAGCCAAGCAACTAGTTTTTGGTTAAATCAGTTTTATGTGAAAGGGAAAAATGTGTGTTATGTAAAATGTTTACACTTCTTTATCAGTTTTTCACTGCTGAGATACATACAGTAGGAGGTGTGATTACACAGGACCGTTATGATTCCACTTATAAAGGATGAAAGCCTTAAAAAGCAAATTTAAGTTAACGTTTCCAGCTGTTGCTCAGTTGGTAGAACGGGACAGCCTCTAATCACAAGGTTGGTGGTTCAGTCTCTGAGCTCCTCCTGTCCTCATGTCAAAGTGTCCTGAATGAGGCAGTGATCTTAAAATTGCATGTATGTTTGCAAAGAAAAAATAAAGTGAGTCACTTTGACTTGCATTGAAAATAGTGTCCAACTCCATGGGTGGCTTCTGTGCTTTGCTGCTATGGGAAAAAAACTGCATGTGTGATTCCATTGAGAAGCACAGAAAACAAAATGGGTGTTTGATGACTCTTTTTAACAAACTCACCCACACACACATCTCCATCTGTCTCCCTCTCACTCTCACACGACATCACGCTTTTATGAAAGGTTGCGTGTTTTCCAAGAAACCCACGTTTTTTAGATTTCAGCAGACCAAAACATCAATGGCAGAGAGTTTACACATGACACGATTCCCACAAAGGCTCAGTGAAAGTGCCGCAGAGGGCAGATTGTAATGTTGGAGAGGAGCGGGCCTCTCACAGTTGAGAAGGATGCCAATTACATGACAGCACTAATTGAAGGGGACAATAGTGTTATTCTCCCATGATGGAGGGATCATGAGGATTTGAAATTGTTGTTGGATTCCTACAGAAATATGAAGTGCTGGCTCACAGTTGGTTTATTCTGTGCTTTTTAGGCATGTGAACACTGTAGCTGTCATTTTTCTTGTGCCTCCTCCTTTTCTGTAGACTTTCTCTCACAGTGTTTTTCCTTTTTCACTCCCTCCCCCTCCCTCCCTCCTTCCCTGTAACCTCCTCCCTCTCCATCTCTGTCCAAGTGGCGTTCGGAGAAGCTTACTCATGTCCAGTCACTTCCCAACATGCCTGGCCTCTCACACGGACACTCACTTCCTGCTCCTCTTTTGACTTATCGCTCCTTTTTTTGTGTGACAACAGGACAAGAATGAGGTCCTCATCTGCTTAGCGACCCGTCCTTGTTTAAAGATGGTTCAGCGAAGGTAAGAAACACCCCCTCCCACACACACACACTCACAGTCTGACACACTCACCACGCTGCTTTTACATTCCTTCACAAGAATCCACCAAGCCTGCAACTCTCCTCTAACTGAAAACAGATGGTGAAATTTTGACTTGCGTGCCTTGTTATGCCTAAACTCTGTGGTTGGTGGGGATGTTTCTGTGGTACTGGGGCAAAGTGGATTCAAAAGAAGAGGGTGAGCTGTGATTGGTGGAGAGGCACGTTTAGGGGCAGGAGCTGGAGGCTCTAATTTGGTATTATTGCATGCAGCTGGTGCGTGTTTTACAGTTGATCCCCTGTGGTGACAGAGTCCATATGATCCTGTATTGTTTAGTGTGAGTGTTTAACTTCGTCCTGATGTTGTGTCAGTGAGAGACAGACAGACTTAAACCATGACATATCCTTTTAGCCACGCTGGCCACATGGGCCAGGGATGTTGGCAGTTGTTTGGTCCACCACTTTGTGCAGAGTTAAATATCTACTGGATGGATTCAAATGAAATTTTGTACAAACATTCAAGGTCTTTGGTGATTTTTTCTCTAGTGCCATTATGAGGTTGACATTTGTGGTTTTTAGTGAAATATCTCAACAACTATCGGCTGGATTGCCATAAAATTTGGTACAAATATCCACATTGCCCGGAGGATGAATCCTAACTCTGGTGTTCCCCCAATTTTTCTTCTACTAGCAGATAAAATGTCTCAGTTATTCAGTGAAATATCTCAACATCTACTCAATGGATTGGCACAAGAATGTTGTAAATACATTCATGGTTCCTAGATGATGAATCCAAATAACTTTGGTAATTCAAGGAATTTCCCTTTGGCGCCAATATTCATTAGCGTTGGACAAATCAAAATTTAATTTGCCCAATACTTTGATTTATGTCCTAATATAGAGTGACGAAGTCACGCCCCTTCCGGTGAAGCTCATGGGACCTTAGATTGGAAAAAATATGAACGGGGAGGCCAAGCTGCAGGAAGCCAGCGAAAGCTATGACGTCACATACGCAACCTCCTCCTGTGTACTCTTGAGTCTTTCTAAATAAAAAACTTATATCTCAACAGTTTTACCACAAAGTATGACTTTCTTGACCTTAAAATTTATGTTTTAAATTCATTAACAACATATTTAGATCTCACGTCGCAACTCAAACGGGAACAAAAGATAATATTGCTCTCCCCATTCACTGCCATTCATATCTTTTCCGATCTAAGGTCCCATGAGCTCTAACTTACCGGAAGGGGCGTGACTTCGGCACTCTATTGCAAAACTGATAACATTCCCATCAGCCAACTTTGTGTTAATTAGCAACTGTTAGCATGCTAGCAATACTAACATGCTAAGGTGAGACGGTGAACATGGCAAACATTACCTGCCAAATTACCACTGTCATTGTCACTGTCATTTGTCCTCATTGTGAGCGTGTTAGCATGTTGATTTTAGCATTTAGCACAAAATACCACTGTGTCAAAGTACTGCCTGAAAGTGTCATTAGCTAGGGATGTGTGCGCTTGGTTGACTAGTTGAGTAAATGGTTCTACCCTCGCTTGTCGGCGCCAGAAAAACAAGTCAGTCAGACTTTTTTATTGAAATAAAAATTATTATTATTCCTTTAAATCAACACTTACCTTTCTGGAAATTTTACGCTTGTCTTTGTTTAGGTTAAAACTAATAAGCTGATGGCACACTAAAATGTAAGTGAATTCCACCGGATATAAAAACTCATAATAATAATATTCTCAAATGGTTCTAAGAAAACTCCGACCAAGCAATAATTGGCTGAGCGTCCTGTCTGTCTTCCCCACGTGGAGGCCTCTGGCTGACATAACCGCTCTTCCTTGTGCGTTTCCACTTACTAGTAACGTTAACACTACTATCTAACGTTAGCACTGTAACCTTATTCTAAAACTCATCAGTCATCACTGACTCCGGTTGAGTTTTAAAACTCCAGGGTTGCGTTTGACTGTGCAGGACAGGTAACATTATGTTTAGGTTGCTTCTAATATAACATTTAACGTTATATGACAACACAGCATCCAGTTGCTAATGGCTAACATTAGCCTACTGTAGTGTAGCCTCTGAAACATTAACGTTATCTTCCTTGTGTGGTTCCACTTACTAGTAACGTTAATGCTACTATCTAACGTTAGCACTGTAACCTTATTCTAACACTCATCAGTCATCACTGACTCCAGTTGAGTTTTAAAACTCTGGGGTTGCGTTTGACTGTCTTGGTTGTAATGTTACACTCGCTCTCCTCTTATCGTAGACGTAATGAGGACGTAATGGAGGAGGGGGGAGTAGGCCGTTGGAGGGAGGTGGAGTTGCAGAAGGGGGATGGGACTTTGGAGGGAGGCGGGAGTTGTGGTTGTGTGAATTTTTTCTAAGTGCTGTGTGAAATGCAAGAAAGGTAAGAGTTGCTTTGATGTACACATTAAACTATATATTGATATAAACTGCACTGAAAAGCAATCTTCCTAGTTTAATGTTGCTTTATGAAAAACAAGCATCTGTTAGCTTACTAATTTCAACACAAGCCAGATTTAAGATGACATCTCATAAAAACAGTGTTGTTTGGTGTTATTGTGATTTCATGTTGTGAGTTGTATATTTAGGATAATGTGCAATGTAGGTAATGCCCGGTGCAGGGTTGCCACACAGCTGCATTTTTTAATTAAAATATGATTTGGTATTTGATATATGCGATTAACAATGTCAAAATGGCTCTTATATGCAACATTTTGGACAAAGTTTAACCTTATGAATTAAGTTGTGCTCAGTTTTGGCTTTTTCCTGAGTGCTTTCTTACTTTAAGACTAGTTGTTTTGTCTAAATTTAAACTCTCGGTCACACGTCAGGGAAATTAGTCATTAGGAGCATCCTGACTGTTAGCATGGCTGCAGTCGGCTGCAGTCGTGTTAAATGATCTTGGAGAGATTATGTGCGCGATCCTGTAAACATGGCTGTGATTTTTGTATACATATGTCATCATTTCAAACTGTAATGATAGTCATCACAAACATCCACTGTCTGCAGGCAGAGGAAACATGGAGAGATAAGGCAGATCCTAACATCCTTCCTCCTGAAGCGCTGGCTTGTAAACATCGTACAGTATAGCAGAGAACTGAATTTATCCTTGATGGTTTCTCCTCACATTATCCCGTTTGAAAAAGCAACACACTCAGAGTTGTCAAAGAAAACTTCTGTCTTGTTTAGCAGAGTCAGTCTTTCCAGTAACGTCCTCGCCAAGAGAAACAACAAAGTAGTTCCTTTCTTGGGGGAAAAGGTTGACATCTTCCAGATTTCCACGGTGCCGATGTGAGTGTTGGAACTGATCCGCAAAGCTGCCCCGGGGCTATTTTCAGCTAAAATAATATCTTGTTTTATACAAACAAGCAATGTGAGCAATGTGGACCTCACTTGCCTAAATATGTTGTCTTTTCTTCCCCCCCTTAACGCCCCACATTCAGCCAGAGTCGTTCACACCCAGTCGCCGTTGACCTTCTGATGTCGAAAAATGTTTCTGTAATGAGAGTGATGTCAGGGGGCCTGCAGGAATCCACTCCTGGCGTCTGAGGTAGTCCAAAAGCAATTTGACAGCTCAGTCCGAAGTGCATAGTGCGGCAGGCAGCTCTCTGAGCCAAAGTCGAGTGTCTCTTTCTCTCCTCCACTGAGTCATATGACTTTGCCTGTTATTGTTCTCTTTCCTGCATGCCTGTCATAGCTGCTGTCTGGCCATGCAGAGGCAGAGAGGGAGAGAAACCCGCTGCAGTCACCAGTCATATCTGTGCATCTGTGCTGCTACTTTATGAAGCAACTTTCTGCGGCTCTGTGTATAATGATGTCTGCCTGTGTTTCTTTTTTGTCTTTGTCCTCAGGGCCTCTGTGATTATGCTTCCTTCTGTGGTTGTGGTTGCTCCCAGTAAGCAGTCAGGAATGTCCTCCTTCTCCTGCCTATGACATGGTTTAACCCACATATGATCCGGTCACCATGATGGCCTCCATGGTTGCCAATGGAAACAGAGACGGGCAGTCTCTGGTCTTGAAAGGGGTGGATCCAGAGACCTGCATGATTGTGTTCAAGAACCACTGGGCTCAGGTAAATGCCAGCACTAAATCAAAAGTCCTGCAGCTCAAAGGAGCAGTCTGACATTTCAGGAAATACACTTTTTAACTTTTTTGTTGCTGAGAGTTAGGCGAAAAGTTCAGTTCCACTCTGATGGAGTTCACACACCTGCATCAAACCACACAGCCTCTGACCAAGAAACACAAGTAATCCCAGTGGTGGAATGCAACTAAGTGCATTTACTCAAGTACTGTACTTATGTACAATTTTGAGGTTCTTCTACTTGAGTATTTCCATTTTATAGTACTTTATATTTCTACTTCACTACAGCTCAGAAGGAAATACTAAACTTTTTACTTCACCACATTTATTTTACTTTACAAATTCAAATTATTAATACAAAATATAAATCAACTAGTAAATTATGATGTTTTATAATAGATTAAACTACCCAGTGCTATATGAAGTCATTAAAATTAGCTCTGCCTTTACCAGCTGCAACATTAAACTGATCAACACATAAATGCATCACTAATTATAATCCAAGAATATAATATATATTACTCTGAAATATGAAGTTATGCATAATGAATACTTTGGCTACTTTTAGTATAATTTGATGGTCATAATTTGGTACTGTTACTTAAAATTACAATCTCAAAGAACTCTGTTTTGGTCTCTTTGCCGGTGCGTATGGCGATAAGCAGTAATTGCAGTTGTGTTTTCAGATGTCACCTCCCAGAGACCATTTAAGTGTTGCCTGTGGATTTGCAAGTTTTCCTAAAGTTTCATGGTCTGTAGTCATCGCTCTTTTCTTTGTTCAGCCATAGCAACCATTTACTCACAACAATAGCAGAGACCAGAAGACACAGTACACTGCTTCACACAGTGAGTTGAAGAGCAGGGGTCTTTATTTATTACAAAACAAAGGCCCGAAAAAGGCTTATGCCACTTCCCATGCAAAAGTTGTGATGTATATAAACAAACGATGGGAGACACATTGAGCCATGTTTACAAACCTTTTTAGAGACAGAAAATTGGCGACACAGATAGTGAGGTGGAAGCCTGGTTGTAGAACTTGTCGAATATTTTTTGGCGCACACCATTCTTGGCTTTTGTCTATACATACATTTTTAGTATGGATCCTACGCATTGTTTTATAAATGAGACCCCAGATCTATTGCGTCCTTCTGCCTACGCTCTCCAGCAGACCATCCACTGCTGGATGATATAAACACGTCACTAAGTGTGCGCCGCTTGTGGTTTTTCTCTGCACTGTCACCACAGACACCCAGTTTGTAATACTGCAAATGCAGTGGTTTTCATCAGTGGGTCATAGGCTCAGTCACCTTGTGGTGCCTCATTTGATGATGACTTAACAGACATTTATTTAAATGAAAATCTTCAAGATTATTACTTTAAGTAAGATTTTGAATGCAGAACTTTTACTTGTAGCAGAGTATTACTCCTCTAAGGTATTGCTACTTTTACTTAAAGGTCTAGTTATTAGGATTTAGTGGTATCTAGTGGTTAGGGTTGTGGCTTGCAACCTACTAAAACTTCTCCCGTGTGCCAAACATGTGGGAGAACATACTTATTCTTTCCATTTCTGCATATACCCTCCTAAATCCTACACACTGGACCTTTAAGTAGAAGATTTAGGTACGTCCTCCACCACTGAGTAAGCCCTACAAGCTTATCTGGTGACAAATTTAATAAAAACACAGAGGAATTCAGCTTCATTTAGCTGTGAGCACCACAGAGTGTCACCGCCGGCAAAGGGTCAGACCCCACACTGACAACCACTAATGGAGACATGAAAGCAGCTGACACTTACTTACTAGCACACTTTTCTAACCCCTCAGTGTCTGGCTTGTGTCATTCTGTGTAGCGTTTGTTCATCTCAGTGTGGGAGGAGTAGGTCTCACAGGCTGCCAGGACCCACAGGGGTGAACAGGGACACATGCTGCTGCAGAGAGCCAAAAGTCTAAGACAGCCGGCTTCCCACTGCCAATATTCCACAGGCCATAACTGCACTGCAGCTCAGTGTTGCTGGGACAGCGCTGGAGTCTGTTTCTAGTCTCAGTGAGAGTAAAGTAGAATGTGTGCAGAGTTTGACACCATACGGCTGTTTTCACATTCATCAGCTGAAGGAGGAATGTTTCTGAATTTAACACAGACATAAGCATGGTTTATGTAATATCACAACTTGCCCTCTGTCTGTATTTTCTCTTTTTCCTCTCATCTTTGCAGGCGTGTACCCTCACAGAGCTCAGGTGAGGTCTGGCTTCATAGAAGGGTAGCGGCCAGGTGCCAGACTGTAAGCAACAGGCATCCAAGAGACACAGCACTGAAAAAAATAATAAAATTATATAACAGAGTGAGGCAAAACTCCAAACGAGAGTGAATCTGAGGTTGGCTTTTACTTAAAATTTCGGTGTCAAGTGTGTTTACAAACAGCAACAGACAGTCAAACATAGTATACTTTAAACCATTTGAATGAAAATATTTGCATACTCATATCATGCATTTTCTCATTGAGGGAAAGGAACAGGTGTTATTTGAAGATTTTTTTTAACACATTAGCATTTTAGGAGTCTCTCACCCCTTCATCTGAGGCTGAGGAATTATGACAGCAGTGACAATAATAACAACAACATATATCAGTAAATAATAAGAATAATGAGAGAGATACATTTATGTAAAACAGTGGGTAGTAAAAAAAGGGATAAATACATTTATAACAAAAATAAACAAATAATAATCAATCAGTCAATAAAAAATAATATAAGATATAAAATAAAATTAACAATAATACAATATAAATAACAATAATACAAACACTAAAAAAATTAAGAGAGATTTTAAGAGAATTTTTAACACAGCATTTTAACTCTTTAGTTTAAAAACCACACTGTATCGGACACAAATTTTCATAACAAACTAACTATGTGTCTGGAGAAGAACTTAAACAGTTCCATTTGTCATTAGTCGTTAATGCAGTTGTATATATTTATATATATATATATATATATATATATATATATGTATATTTAACTTAATTCAAATCATTCAAGAGGTTTTTAAGTAATGACATCAAAACCAAAATTACAGTTGTCCCGGTCGCCCTAATAAACCCTGTGTTTCCAGTGACAGTTACAAAATGGCTCAAATCCTGGACAAATGCAGATGAGAGAGCTGGTATAGATAAAGATGTCATGTCGGTCGTGTGGTACAGGACAAAACAAAGCTAAATGTGAACACACATTCAACAGAGGTGTGTAAGCAGCCTCTATAGAAGCTTTCAGTGTGGTGTGTGTGTGTGTGTGTGTGTGTGTGTGGCAAGGGAGGAGAGAGCCGGTGTGTCTGCACTTGGGATGGGCAGAACTCAACAGATGAAAAAAGATGCCAAAGTCCAGCATAGAGAGGCTGAGTGAATGTGGTCTGGACTCTGCAGAAGGGAGCTGTGTTTTCAGAGACACAGTAGAAACACAGAATACCTGCAACCACACACACCCAAACATTCAAGTGATCATTGAAGTGTAATTAATTTGATCTCTGTCCTTAAAGGAGCTGTCAAGCCAGCATCCCAGAGATATCTGTCACAGCAGTTGTTTTCTGATGTATATTCTGTGGTTACTTGAGGAGTTATGTGACTTAACTTTATTACAATAGTTAGATACTTAAGGCTTGTCATTATTGACCTTGGATACTGTAGTTTGACAAAGCAATTTCTACTAACTAGAGAAGTATGTTCCATTAAGTTTGGCTTAGATTTTTTGACTGTCTCACCGGATAGGTTTTGTGGAATAGGTGAATTACTCCAGTGACATGCTTATGTTGGATATATCTGTTAATGCAGGTGGTGAATTCAGACTGATGTAGAAGCACTATGTTGTAAGTGAGCTCACTGTTGTGTATACAAACCTGTTCTATGAGGTTGCCAAGTTTAGCAGGCTCGACAGTACAGTCCGGATCAGTGACACACTTGGCATTGAACACAATGTTTTGCTAACCATGTTTTGTTGTACAGTTTGTAGTTTGTTCTTGACTCATGCTTAAAGTCCTGTCTGGTGTCTGTCATATATATATATATTTCACAGATGGACATATTCCCTCAGTCCCAGCCTGACTGTGAACAGAAAAAAATGAGAACTCCCCGTTCCAGATCAAAGCTTGTTTTGCTGTAGGCAAACTGGCAGCACAATTTCACCCCTGCAGAGTCTTATTTCCATGCTTCGCTAATCTGACGCCCGATAACAGCGCTCTTGACTTTGGTTTCAGTTCGGAAAACCTTGAAATCCGAGTAACATGTTGTAAGTAATATTGGCCTTGTCCCTCTGTTTGAAGCTCTGGCTGCTTCATCGGAAGATTTGGTTTATGTTCATTTGCTGCGTGTTATCTGCCGCTCTCCAGGCCTCACAGAGCTCATTGTGTTTGTTGTGACATGCAAAGTGATCGGTCTGTTGCTGTGGCTGCCAGCCAGCGTTAACTATTGACAGTGAAGAGCCATAGTGACGGATAACAAACTGCCCATACTCCGCAGCTACTGACTCAGTCCATTCATGGTTGAAGCCACGTGACCCCCTAATAAATCTGTCAGTGTTATGAATGTGTTTCTGTTTAATGACGTGTACAGTTCATGTGGAAACACTTCCATCCAGTGCACGTTTGAGAGCATATTAAGACTTCAGAGTTACAGTTAAATTAGCTTCATCCCTGCTCCCATCACTCAGGTGAATTTTCTGGCTACAGTACAACATATCCTTTCAGGGCATCTGTCAACAAAAATAAAAAGCACAGATGTTAAAAGTGAAAAAAGTTTGAATTTAATTGTTTTCATCCCAGTTTAATAATCTCCAGAATGATATTTGTGATTCATTTTGCGATATTAATGACACCTTTAAAAATCGGCATTTCACAGCACTGTCTGAATCTGACACTGCATATGTCATCTGGGATTAATAATGCATAAAATATGTGTCACAACACTCATCTAGGCCTGCACTGTATAAACTTAGTGATGTTAAACCTCTAGCAGTTTTAAGAAAAGACACCTGCACCTGCATGAGAACATTTGGTACAACTTCTAAAAGAAATGTAACCACCACTTGCTCTCAAATTATTTGCTCTATGAGTGAAATCTATGTTTATAATTAATACTTTGTGTTTCCTTTTTATATGCTAAGTTCTGTATAATAGCGTGCCTTAAAGGTATACTATGCAGGAATTGTCTGTAAACACAACAGATTGCCACCGCAGAGCTACACCTGTGTTCAAAGAAGAACTCACATTAAATTAAAAATGGTGGCATTTGCTATCAGCTATATGCCCTCAAAAATGCAAATCCATCTCCATCCTGACTTTCTTTTCTTTACTTTTTTTGTAAAATAGTCAGTAGCAATCTATAACAAAATGATATGCTTATTCTGCATGACCCAGAAAACCACGAATAAACTGTATCTATAAAAAACTAATCATTTAAATGAAGAATGTCTTATATATATATATTTTTTTTAATTTTATATACTTTATTAATTCAATTTTTTCACTCCGTTGTCATTAACACACAGGTCTGAAATACACACATATGCACAAACAGGACCTATACATGCACAAAGTGGAGAGATGTCAGAGTGACGGGGCTGCCATGGACAGGCACCCCAAGGGGTTGGGGGCTTCAATGCTTTGCTCAAGGGCACCCCAGCAGTGCCCAGGAGGTGGACTGGCACCTCTCCAGCCACCAGTCCACACTCCATATTTGGTCCGGACGGGTTCCCAACCCAAGTCCCCATGGACTGAGCTACTGCTGCCCCATATTTATATTTGGCTCTTGTATAAAAAGTTGCCAGTGATGTGTGTGGGCGCCTTGTAACTAGTAACTAGTGTGCGCTGGGGCCTGTGGTGGCTACTTTACGCCACTGGTTCACTGCCAGCTGCTGTTATAGGCACATCACATTACATTTGTTGTAATGAAAACGCCAATACTTGAGCAAGCTAAGTGAGCTAATGCAGGCACCTACCTGTCCAACAGAAATCAGGCCTGCGCCATGTCACTCTTCATCCCCATCCTCTCCTTCAGAGCTCACCACCAAAAGTGAGAGTGAAACCCAAATTCAGATTCACACACGTTGTGGAATGAGGTTTTTGTAGCTCCCTCTTGGATGCCTGCTGCTTACAGTGTGGCACCTGGGGGCAACCATTTTATAAAGGCCTGACCTCACCTGCATGCTGTGCCCAGGAATGTCCTGAACACAGCAAAATAAGAGTAAGAAAATACAGGTAGAGGGCAGAGTCTCTGCGGATAAATACACCACCACACACTTCTAGAAGGTCATAGGTGATGATGGAGAGGGATTACTTTTTTAATGAGGTTATAGGCTGCATTGTTTTTTCAAAAAATCTTGCATACCTTTAAAGTACAGGTGTGGGCTGAACACATGACACAGATGGTATTTTAATATTTATTCAGGCACAGATCAAATCTGAACTTTTACTGGGTGTGTTTTTTAACCTTTATTTAGTCAGGGACAGTTCACTGAGAGCACATACTCTTAAGACTTTCACAGATTTAAACACACCTGGAAACTCCCCAGGGCCTTGCTAAAGGGCACCACACTGGTGGAAATGCTGCACTTTGACTTTGATCACTTGGATTTATTCTGCCAGTCGTGGCCTGTGATGATTAAATATGAAACAAATAGTTCAATTCTAACACTTTTTAAAAGCAGCTTTTATTTTGAAGGTCAGATCCCTGAACCAGAAATATTACTCTGACCCATGGATCAAAAATTCACACTTACCAGCAGCTGCTTTGCAAATGATACACAAACTCCAGGCGTCACAGTTTAACAAACCTTAGCTTTGTCTGCAGCTGACCTTGATAGTGTCGTTATTATGCCAGCAGGAATCTCACAACTACAATCTGTCAGCCATGTGTCCAGAAAGTAAAATCTTTCAATCTCAAACCTGACCCCTTCCTGTCACTGCAGTACTGGCCGGAGTGTCTGAACTGGACTGAGCCCTGAGCCCACTGGGCCAGGCCCTATTGGACTCAGACAGGGATTACACACTCTGTTCTCTGGTTTCCATCGGCCATGCCCAGTCCTCTTGTGCACAGTCAGTTATTGTCATGGCAGCAGTGACAGGCTGGGGACACTGGCTCCATTATTGTGACTCTGGTTTCTACGCAGCCGACACACAAGGGAGGGATTGGATACACAAAGGGCTGTTTCACCCTGTGCTACCAAACTGAGTCTATCTGCGCTGCGCCGCTGGTTTATTTACACCCGGTTATTGTTGATTATTAACCTGTCAGCAAGAAGGGAATGAGTTTACCTGCGACATACCAGTTTTATTGAACATGGCGTACAAGCACCATCTGTACAAATAAGATTAAAACTGCTATAAGAGGAAACACTGACCTATAACTTAGGTCAAGTGTCCATAGTGTGCAGCACATGTACTTTATATTACGTGAGTGGTAATGCTGAGATCTTCTTTGTCAGCCAAAATGCAAACCGACTCTGTGCTTTTTGCACTTTTTAAATCCCAGTGATCAATTTCCATCTTCCTAGCTTTTCGTTAATTGAGTTTCTGTTGATCTTCACTTGACAAAAGTGGCGACGATCACTGGTCAACTGTAAGGAGCAGTCAACAGTGTGTAGCAGTGTTTCTCATGTATAGAATTAATTTGGGTGGCCCACCAATTGAAATTTGTCCCTTTTCAAACAGAACTTTGTAATATAATTTTGTCATTTCTTCTTTTCAAAAGCAAATACAGTTGAATATTCAGGCTGATCGTTTGATGTGTTCAAGTGTCCCTTAAACACACTTCTCCAATCCAAGAGGAGAAGTTTTTCATTCTTTCATTCATTCATTTTCCGTAACTGCTTATTCTGTTAGGGCTCGCAGGGGAGCTGGAACCTATCTCAGCTACACCCTGGACAGGTCACCGGACTATCACAGGGCTGACGCATAGAGACAGACAACCATTCACACATACGTTCACACCTACGGACAATTCAGAGTCACCAGTTAGCATGCATGTCTTTGGACTGTGGGAGGAAGCAGGAGTACCTGGAGAAAACCCACACTGACACGGGGAGAACATGCAAACTCTGCACAGAGGGGCTCCCCAGGGTGGGTTGGTTTGTAACCCGGGATGGGGGAGCCCCTGGATTTGAACCAGGAACCCTCTTGCTGTGAGGCAACAGTGCTAACCACTGTATTACCGTGCCACCCAATCCAAAGGTCGACGACCACAAAAAATGTATCAACCCATGTAAACCTGGTGAATGTGTCTTAACCAACGGCCTCATTATTGAGTGTACTTGTTGATTTGTACATCTTTACGTAAGGGAAGTGTTTCATTAGAATATTAAGCCTTTATACTTTTCACACAAAGGATACAAGTGACAACAGCTTTAATAGGTGATTTGTATAAATATTTCAAACCTTCCACCAAACTCATCCTCATGTCTTTATTTATCATCTCACACTTTACTTTTGAGGTCTACTTTTACAAGCCATGGCTTTGTCTCTTTCTGTTTGGATGTAGTTATGATAGCCAAAGCATAGTGACTTATTAGTTTGCAGCTGCTCTTGTAATAAAATCCAGTCAGAATAAGGTTTATTTACCAAGTAGGTTTTCACTTACAGGGAATTTGCCTTGGTGTTTGGTGCTTGCAGTAAACATAATAAGATGCAGTAAGAAAAGTACTGCAAAAGTTAAGAATGTAATTATAGATTAGAGAAATTCCAATAAAATAGGAAGAAGACAATTTAAAAATACTATAACAAATACATGCCACTAAAAAATGAAAAATACTGTAAAAAATGGGTATCTTTGACTTTGAAGCAATCTTTTATTTTTGTGTTTACTTTGTTCCATGAATTTTGTTTTATCCCCCTCAGCATTGAGACACACAGAATGGACTGTGGCTCATGAATGAGTGGAGGATTTCTCCCTCATTAGAGATACCCTGGACTTCCAGGAATCAAGGTCAAGGATCATAAGGACCTTTATGATCTTGAAGGATGATCATGGACATAGGGGACCCATTATCTGTGATGCTGCAATGTGGCCTTGCTTCTTTTCATTTTCTGTTTTGCAAGATGTCAAGCATTTCACCTTTACGGATGAGGTTCCTGCCTGTTCGGGATGTTCTTTTCGCAAATTATGATGAAAATAAAGTATAAAAAACAAAAATATGATAACAAATATGTACAAAATAACTCTTTCTGAATGAGATAGTTTTGTGCAGGATGTGCTAAAATGATATATGGTTTTCTTCTGTCTTTTATTGCAGGTGGTGAAGATCTTAGAAAAGCATGACCCCCTTCGCAGCAGCTCCACCCTGCCCTCCCTGGGTGTCATCAACCTCAGCGCCAGCTCTGGCAGCAGCCCTCGTTTCGGCCCCATCCCCGGAGACGAGGCGAGCGCGGTGCAGAACTATGTTGAGCACATGCTGTTCCTGCTGATGGAGGAGGAGAGCGGTCAGGCCGGCGCCATGGGCCCCATCCTGGAGTTTGTCGTGATGGAGAATGTGATGGAGCGTCTCTTTGTGTGGAGCCTCCGCAGGGAGTTCACAGACGACATGAAGCTGGAGCAGCTAAAAATGTACGAGATGCTGGTGGGCCAGGCGCACCAGCCCTTGCTGCACCACAAGCCCATCCTGCGGCCGCTCATGATGCTGCTGTCATCCTGCTCGGGCACCACGACACCACGGGTCGAAGCTGAGCTGGTGCTGCTGCTCAACCAGCTGTGTTGCGTGCTGGCAAAGGACCCTTCTATTCTGGAGTTGTTTTTCCACACTAGCGAGGATCAGGGAGCCACCAACTTCCTCATCTTCTCTCTGCTCATCCCCTACATCCACAGGGAGGGCACGGTGGGTCAGCAGGCCAGGGACGCACTGCTGCTCATTATGTCGCTGTCAGCTGAGAATGAGCGAGTGGCCAAACACATTGCAGAGAATACCTACTTCTGCCCGGTCAGTCCCAAGTGATCAATTACCTCTTCTCTTAATCTCTTTCACTTTTTAGTACCTGTGTGAATCTCCCCTGACTCCCTCCTTCTGTTTTTAATTTTCCTAACTAATCAACCTTTCTGTATGAGGAATTGTTCTTCTTATTATCTGACAGCCACTCTAAAATCCCAGACTTTTTTGTGTGACCCTGGGCATCATAATCAGGCACAAAATATGCAGATGAATTCACAAAGCCACTCGAAGAAAGGTTAAACCATCTCATTGAATGGTACAAATGTCTGGCATTCATAAGCTTATGGCACGGTTGCAAGCTAATCCCATGTAAATAATGCCTTTTACCCGCAGCTGCAGACATGGCATGAGAAACAGCTTTTGATGCGATGCCAGTTCAACAACTGGAGTCTGAATTTAATTGGTTCCACTGGCAGGCTACAGGGATAATCCTATAGAGGATGTATACATCAGTGCAACACTAATGATGCACTCATCTCACTGTTAGAGTGCAGTGATATAGACTCTGTTGTTGTTTGAAATCCCACCCTGTAAATACTTAAGATTACATCTCTAAGAGGAGACAGAAATCATATTCATACTGACTGTTTCTTATGTGGAAAGCCTGCTGACATTTATGCATTAATTAGGGACCTAATTACCATATCGTGACGACTATGAAAGGAAAGGTAAAGGCAATAAAACTCTTTGCTGCTCAAATATTTATAGAGCTGACCTGTAGGAGGTAAGAATCCATATGTGCGCTGTCGTGCTGTGCGAGGAGGAGGCTGATATGTAGGCTGCTGCAGCGCTCTGCTTACATCTGTATTACATTATCAAATTGGAGAAGAAGAAATGATTTACAAAAGTATTTTGGATTGTAGCGAGCAGTAAAACACCGTTATAAATCTGTTGTGTGAAGGCGAAAGTAAAACTGACGGCCAGAGATTTATCATTTGTGCCACACACCGCCTCATTAATGTTTAATGAAGCCCATAATATTCTCTCTGCAATCACTTTATGTCAGATTATTTTTCATTAGACTGTATATATCACATATATATCACATAACGCCAGGTTTGCAGCGTAGTGTGTTTGTGCTACAGTGCAGGTAAGACATTTCACAGGCCTAGTGTTTTGCCTGGGGTAGTTCTGCTGTGGAGGCTGACAGGTGAGTAGGGTTAGAGAGGAATTAAAATGGTATTGTGCTGTAGTTCAGCATCATAAAGCATTTTCTTAAACGTTCTAAAAAACACCTTTATGACACTCTGAACATCCATCTGCTTGGATAGACAGAGGCATTTATTCTTTTATTCTTAGTATTGTGAATCTAAAACAGGGGTACTCCACTTACTTGACAGGAGGCCAGGGACCAGTTCATAAACAAACAATGATAATATTTATCAGAAAAAATGAACTCACTGATTTTTGCCAAGAATAGCAGCAGCCCTGCACGGGTCAGGTTGGATTTAAGGACATTTTAGGCTTAGCCTACACCTCTGTCAGGGGTCCAGGGGATCCTACCATGGCATTTAATTTTGTAAAACAAGCTCTTTTTTGATGCTTTTTGTCTTTATCTTTTTATTAGGGTTTGATGGATAACAACAGTAGATAATTACAAGTTCCATTCCTTTCATTATGTGTGTGAACAGAACAGGAACAATTAAAAATGTCTCTGCATTGAAAAAAAAGCCATAAATTATGTAAATATCATTAAGTATTTTTTCCAAATAAGACAGTACAATGAAATGTGTATATAGTCCTGTTGTAAGTAAACCCCAAAGTAAGCTTGTTTAAAGAGAAAGAAGGAAAGGTAGACAGGGGGGTTAGTCCAAGGACAGGGTTGTTAAGGAATTAAAGTAGTTTATAAAATAATTCCATGTCCGAGTAAACTTATCAGAGGAGCCTTTCACTGTTCAAACTTATTTTCCCAAATTTAATACAGGACATAACATCCTTAAGCCACAGTGATATAGATGGGGGTTTAGCAGATTTCCACAGGAGTAAAATGTGACGTCTCGCCAAAAGGGAAGTACAGGCCAATACTTCTGACTATGAGGAGTTAATTTATAGTTGTTCAGATGACACCCCAAATATAGAAATAAAAGGATTCATTTTTATCTAGACTCCTAAAACCTTTGTTAAAACCATAAAACAGTCAGTCCAGACTTGATGTAGTCTGGGGCAGAAGAGGAACGCATGACTCAAATTACAAGCAGAGGCATGGCAGCTGTCACATTGGTCGGCAATATTAGGATATATTTCAGATAGTCAAGATTTGCTGAAATGGACTCGCACAAGGAGTAGTTGAGCCTATATTATGCACAGCTTTGTTCCACCGTTGATCCGTCAAATTTGCCCCAAACTCATGCTCCCAGCATTTTTGGTTCTGACAACTGAGTGATTATCAAGAGCCAAGAGTTTGTCATAAATCTTGGATGCTTACTGTAATGTTCTTTAATGCACTCTGACACCTTATTTCAAAGTACAAATAAATTCCCTGTGTGAATCAATTTACTGTCATTGTGAAATAGAAATTTGTTGGTGGGCCTCCTGGGATCCAATCTTATGGGCCGTAACCTGAGTATTACTGGCTTAAAATATGTTTTGCACATTCCTGCCTAGCTCTTTCATTTTAAACACTTAAACTGTACATATTCTTCAATATTATTTTCTCATGTCTTTATTGCATTTTTCACTCTTCTGCATTTGTGTTTCTTGTCTATGCACCAAGGCAAATTCCTCGCATGTGAAAACCTACTTACCTACAATAAAGCAGGTTCTGATAAACACAAAGTACAGCTGAGGCTGTATGTCATTAGTACAGAGGTAGTCGTAAGCCAAAGTAGACATTCTGACTTGATGATGATGATATTAGAAAAGTCATAAGTCATTCTGTGGAGATCAGATGTCCAGATGTTTCACTCTAGAAGAAAAGTTTAAATGATCACTAAAGTAATTTGAGTAAATAATCAGGAAACCATAAATGTGTACGAAATTTTGTGGCAACATTTCAAAGGATTCGTGAAAACTTTGACCTGTGGTTAATCCCAAATCAGCTCTCAACATTATCTGTATTACTGTAAGATCTTATTTGACGTTGGCGTCTCTCTGTCTCCTCAGGTTCTGGCCACAGGGCTGAGCGGCCTGTACTCATCTCTGCCCACCAAGCTGGAGGTTCCCAACGAGGAGTGGCACTGCCTGCACAAAGAGGACTGGCTCCAGATGCCGCCCCTCGTCCAGTTTCTCAACTCGCTGGAGTTCTGCAACGCTGTTATTCAGGTGAGAACATGTGATGAGGCTCTGCCGCATGAAAAATGTATACACACGTGGTATATGGCTACAGCCCTCTGCTTGACTGCAGTCTTAACTAACATGTGACTGTTCCCAGGTGGCCCACCCTGATATCAGAGACCAGCTAGTTAGCTACATCTACAACGGATTCCTCGTGCCTGTCCTAGCACCAGCTCTACACAAGGTCGGGACACTTTTACCTTCTCCTCTTCACCTCCATGTTAAGCCTTGTTTGGACAGGTGTACAGTCATGCTCCTCAGTAACTTAACTTATTGTTGTGGATGGCATTTTACTGATCAGCAAACTACGGAAGGTGGATACACTTCAGATTACAATGTGTGTGTGTGGATGAGGCATAAATAGAAGGAAGACCAATGTATTTAGGAAATTTGAAGATTTGTGATTAAATCTGTGGTAGAGGGTTATACATGTCGATTTAAAGAAAGAGTTAGATGAGAAAATGGGATACCACTCTCATATCTGTCCATCTAATATGAAGCATACTGGCATGCTATATAGTATGGTAGTATGGGTACTGGAATGCACAGATTGGTTTCAAAGTCTGGCGTACTTCCGGGGAGCCTGGTCATAAGACGATAGGCGTTTGGGGGCAACGGCCAATATTTCAGGAGATCTGGTGTTTAGGATATTTAGGCCAAGATTTTCTCTTATGTGCGCCTGTGATTTTGGTTCATCTCTACAGACAGATATCTACTTTTGAAAGCAGATAAATAAATAAATTTAAAAAATGAATGCTAGATGATCAGCAGACTATAGCTGATGGTTCCAAGATTGCATGTCGGCCAGTGCTTTCCGTTTCTCCACACAGACTGTTCACCTGCTGCTCACTGTCATCGGTCAATACTTCTTGGACTACAAGTGGAAACGAGCGCTCTTCTCTACATGTTCTAAATTCATAGAGATTAGTCCACAGTAGCTGTTTCCAGTCTTTATGCTAAGCTAAGCTAAGCTAAGCTAACTGGCTCTTGGCTGTAGCCTTATCTTTTACCATACAGATAAGAGTAGTGTTGAGCTTCTCATCTAACTCTAGGGTAAGACAGCCTATAAAAAGGCCTAAAACATATCACATAAATTCCCTGAACAAAATAAGTCCTGTCCAAATGGAGCTTTACTGAATATAAAAAATGTTGTGTTTGCATTATCTGTGCAGAGCGTACCAACTTCTTGCTATACACTGTTGACATTTTCAACAGATTTTTTTCCTTTGCTCTACAAGTTTCTGTCAAACACACACTCCAACTTACTGAGTATTGATTTCTGTCTCTGTGAAGCTGACCCTAGAAGAGGTGATGACCACCACAGCATACCTTGACCTCTTCCTGAGGACTGCGTCTGAGCCGGCCCTGCTGCAGACCTTCCTCTCCTTCATCCTCCTCCACCGACACGAGAGCGTCCACATCTTAGATACTCTTGTCAGCCGCATCAATACCCCCTTCCAGGTACAGGACAAACCCAGCAAACTGCCAACAACACTGATGTGCATGTTTTGAAACTCTCTCACACACACACACACTCTCGCACATACGCACACACATTCCGATCAAGCACAGCATGACTCATGTTTAATAACTCAGAAAACTACCCCAGAGGCACTTTGGACCCACGGTGAAACTTTAAAATGTCAGCACCAAAGCTGGCAGACTGTTGCCATGGTGACGCTCGGTTGCAGTGACATTATCCTGTTAGCGAAGCATTTTTAAACACTCCTGTATGTTGGAGCATCTTTAACATGAATAAGTGATGTGTTCTTTACATTGCTGTTTGACTGTGTAAATGGCTCGGAGGAGTTCCCTCAAGTGTTTGCTAACAGTTAGCTTTGGCACACCTGCGACTCAGTGAAGAAAAAGAAACATGTTTGCTTTTCAAATGTTTGACCTTTAACCAAATTAAACATTGAATAATATGCAAATATTTCACTGCTATTTTTTGTTTGCTTTTACCTTTGATGCCCAGTAACTTGGCACTTCTTAAGGCACATCATGCTCTTTATGTTATTCTAGTCTTTGACTGAAGGTAAAATGTACACACAGAATATAATTTGAATTTTACATTTTACCAAGAAAAACCTTCAACCCTCAATCTTCTCTAGGCTAATCAAAGCAAAAGTGAGTTTAGCTAAGGATAAAACCTACTGATTTCTATTTTACACTCATGCTAGTGGCATACTTTGCAAGTAAATCAATTAATTGTTTAGTTTCTAAAATGTCTTGTGGTGAAAAGTATGTTTATCACCATTTATCTGAGCCCAAGGTGACATCTTCAAATGCCTTATTTTGTCTGACCAACAGTTCCAAAACCCAAATATATACAATTTATACTATACTACTACTGCTAATACTACTGCAGTGCCGTTAAAAACAAGCCTGCTCAGAATAGTTCGATTGCTCTGCTTGCAGGTTTCTGGAGAACTGCGTTTATAAACAATTTCACACTCTACACTGTGCCTGCTCTGGTCCTGTGCAATATACGGGCCCCAAACGGCTTTAGATGTATGAAAAATACTGAACTGAACTTGCTATTCAAACTCATTGTACCCTAAAATAACGTACAAAAGGCCCCCAAAGTACCTATACTTGTACAGCTACATTTACATGACAGAGACATGTAAATGGTTATGTTGCAGATTCTGATGTAACTCACAAAATGCAACAATTACAATATGATGCATTATTATTCAGTAAGCTATCCAACATTATAGCAGATTTGAAAGCTCCACCATGAACAGCCTTTGAGTAAATTTAAGTACACTGTGCTGATATTGCCTCTCATTCAAGCAAGTAAAACTTGAATGCAGGACTTTTGCTGTGTGGTATTAATAGTTTTACTTGGGAAGAAAAACCCCAAAACTAAAACATTTTAGGGACTATATCTTTAGTGTATTGACAAAATCTTCTAAGGGGTAGCTCTAAGTCCTCCAACTCACATGAATCTATATGTTCCTACCCTCAAATACGACCCACTGATGGACAATAGAATAGCTCGTATATGACTGTTAATGGCTGCAGTTTTAAACATGTAGTTAAGTTTGTGAAGCGTTCACAGTTGTACCAAAACTACATGATCAGGTTTATGCAACAAAACACCTTTGTAAGGTTCACAAAAAGATCATGGCTTGGCTTTAAATAAGTGTTCATAAGTATTCAACCACATACGTAACATTGTTACAACTCAGCCTTGACTTTTGGTTTCACACGGGACATGGACACAGGTCTCCTGGATGAAAGTCCTATGTTTGTTTGACCACTTCCTCCACCACTGCAAATAGCCTGCAAACATTCCCAGTTTGAGAAAGGCTGAAAAGTAAGGTGAGGCAGTGTTTGCCTGGCGCCCCCAAATCACTAAATCTGCCCCTGAAAAACACACTTGTGGCTACTTCGAGTTCACCTAACCTTGGTTATAAAGTAGAGCATGGATTTAATTAGTTGAGGTACTTTACGTCTACTTGCAATCAGAAACAACGGTAAAATACACTCAGTGAGACATGCTCGACTCTCTGCAGAGTCTTGAAGCCCTGTCCATGCTGCTGCACAGTTCGCTTGTTTATTAATTTGATATTGATATTGTTAATTAATATTGAACATGCTCTGTGTTCAAATTGCATCAAATTTCACAAGGCACAATCTTGGGTCCACAGCAGTACACCACCAAACGTGAAGTAGATCAGATGAATGGCTCTCAAAATATGCAAAGGACAGACAGACAGATTCCCTGCTTTATTGTTAGCTATGATAGAGAAAAATGCAACATATTCTCACATGTTAGAAGCTGGGACAGGTGAATGTTTGCCAGTTTTGTTTAACAAGTGACTTAACTGAGTGATTCATTGTCAGAACTGTTGATTAATTTTCTGTTTCTCCACATATTGACTCATGTTGCAGCAGTAGTACAAAAATCCTCAGTTGTTGTAACGTGTTTGTGTCTTTGCATTCAACTCTGCAGTTGGGCACTGTGTCACTGGCACTTTTCCGCACTCTCATCGGCTTATACTGTGAAGATGTGATGCTGCAGCTCGTCTTGAGGTGAGTGGCGCACACACACACTGACTCATCCCAGTTATGAAGCATGCTATATCTAATTGGTTTACGATGTGATGAGCTTTTACTCTCTACCTCCCGCCGCGCAGACTTGTGTTACCATCTGTCTGCTCACCCTCCCGTGTTTACTCCCCCCTCCTACGACCGCCCGTCGGTTTCCCTAACAGGATCCGTTCCCATCTGCCTCCCCAGGTACCTGATCCCCTGTAATCACATGATGTTGAGTCAGAGACGTGTTGTGGGGGAGAGGGACTGCTACTCTGTGTCAGCAGCCAAGATCCTGGCATTAACGCCGTCCTGCTGCTCTCCTGATCACAGCCCCCCGCCCCTCCGACAGCTGGACTCCATCCTCTTTTCCAAGGGTGCAGAGACTCCCAGCAACACCAGCACCACAGGTAGGAACATTAAAGGGACATTTTGTTTGGGTTATTGCAGCTTGGATCTTACTGTTGGCATTTTGGACATCATTTCAATCGGTTGTGATAACATTGTACTCACCAAAGCAGTTGCTCAGATGTGGGAACAGGGAGACATTGCTGTAATGAAGTCTGATGAGACAAGAAACACAATGACTCTGAAGATCATACAGTTCTGACAGATTATATAAACCTCTTTATTTGGAGGTAAAATGGAAAGAACTAAAAAAAAATAGACCCAAGAATGATCTTTTAATGAATCTGTGGTTCACTTCATGCAGTAATGCAGCTAATTATTATCACAGCAGGAATGCAAAGGGAAGCAGGGTGACGTAATGAGTTGTGTTTCAACACTTTTCAAGGTCCTGTGTCATCCATACTTCTGAGGTGCCCTTTTGTGCATGAGAGAGGAAAGCTTTTAATAATGCTCTTTGAGACTACTCAATACTTTTCATTTTTTCGAGTACTCTGTGTATTACAGATTAGCCAAAATGAATGACTGCTTTTCACCCGTATTTCTAATTAGCTTTTAAGGATGTTTTTTTGGTGCTTTCAGATCAGCTGCAGGGTGAATTCATCCTGCAGATTTCACCATTCAGAATCCTATTTGAGTGAGTGCGTGTTACAACCTCTGTGACAGTGGTGTGCAGTCAAAACAAACAGAACAGACAGAGCATAACAGAGGAAAATGGAAAATCATTCATTGCAGCAGTTAGAGCAAGAAATTGTAATAAAGGGTGTAATTTATTTATTTTGAAATCTGTGCAAACATGAGTACATTGTGCTGCAAGATGTTGATCTGCATTTATCTGGGACATGAACATATAACTGGGATGATTATGAGTATTTTGTCAAATAGTGGTATATCCCGCTGTTTTTGCTGTATTACATCACTTTACCCCCTGTAGCTACATGTCAAACTCATTAGTTCTGCTCTGTGTGAGTGCTGTGCTGAGGTGCCGCACGCCAGATTTTATCAACATTTCCTATCTGTTTTGTTTTTTCCAGAGGAAAATGAGAGCTTCTTAGAAGAGGATGATGGCTCCGGTAACTCCTGCACCATCGGCTCAGAAATCTATCTGGATGTCAGTTATCTTCATTACCTCTACGAAGCCCGTCTGAGCATCAGCAGCTGCATACGGGCCTGCCAGGTTTGGTCAGCGCTGTACGATGGCGAGGACCCTCCTCCTGAGAAATACCAGCCAGGCGTCCTCGAGGAGCCGGTGCTGAAGATTAGGCAAACCCAGATGGCTGTTAAGAGAGTGCCACAGCCACTGGCGCCTTGCCCTCAACCGAGCACAGAGCCACCCTCCGTCACACAGCTAGAGCTGGAGTGGGATGATAGTTACGATGCGTGTCCGGTGCAGACCGCTGAGGCTCCTGTGGAGAGTAAGCCTCAACAGCAGCCTCCTGCTGAGCCCCCAAAGCACATCCAGGAGATGAGGAAAACAGCCATCAAGTTGGTGAAAGGCTCATATATTGAGGAAAGTGAATTCCAAGACGACGTCATGGTGTACGATCTCGTTGCTAAGAAAGACGCCAGAGATGTTGAACAAGTTAAGCTCAAATCCAAAGCGTCTGAATCAGAGGAAACCCAACCAAGCTCAGTAGAAGTCTCCCTAAAAAACGGACTTAGTCTGACACTTCCAACCTCTGTGATGTCTGATAAAAACAGCTCAGACACAAAGGTCAAAGGTCAGACAGATTGTAACGCCCAAAACACCACAGCTGCCGAGTCAGGTGACGACCTGTTGGCTCAGTATGAGGAGCTCATTCGTACGCTGGACACTCAAGCAGGTGGAAAACAGGTCAAACCTGATGGAGAGCTGAAGAAGCCCGTCACACCTGCAGAGGAGGAGGAAGAGGAGATGGATTTCACCTCCTTCTCTGCTGAGACACCAGAGCCAGAGAAACTGCAGTCACCATTTGGGGTCAAGTTTAGCAGCGGGGGAGCAGGAAGAAGCCAGTCAGTGCCTTTTACTGGTGAGTGAAGCGAAATCTTTTATCTGTGGCCTCATTATTCAGCAAACCTTACATTCAGACAGTCTAAAGATTGTTTGTTATTACTCTTCCTGCAGGTCCATTTGTTAGTGTGCTGTTGTCTCGTCTGGAGAACATGCTGTCTAACTCGCTTCACGTCAACTTGCTGTTGACGGGCATCCTGGCCCAGTTGGCGGCCTACCCTCAGCCTCTCCTACGCTCCTTCCTGCTCAACACCAACTTGGTCTTTCAGCCGACTGTTCGCTCTCTTTACCAGGTAACACAAATATGTTGTGTGTCTGCGTGTGCAGGCAGGAGGGAGCCTGTTATTTGCTTTCCTTCCTCTGAGCCTCATCAAGCAGACAGGAAGAAAAAGGAAACAAAAGATTTGGGTTTTGTTGCATCACTGACAGATGCTGAAAGATGAAGCTTTCCTCTCAGAAGTGAGATTGAAAATAGAAATATGTTGAGTTGTTTGAGCACAGTTCTGTCGCTGCTCCTGAGTAAGATGAAGTAAAGACGGCTTCCTCTCTTCTCCCTGTTTCCTTAACTGAACAAGAGATCCTTGATTAATACAATCAGGCTACAGATTCCAAGGTTGTACTCTTTAATTTAGTTTTAATTACATGAGTATAAACACTGCAGATGTGAGCGTACAGGGAATCCTCAGTTTCTTTTCTGTGTTTCCCTCCAGGTACTGGCCACTGTGAAGAACCAGATAGAACAGCAGGCTGCCAACAAAAGAGACTTTCCAGAGCTGATCACTGCCGCCCAACACTGGCTGCTGGCAAGGGAGACTTTGTTCACAGCAGCAGGTGACAATACACCCACATCTAGTATCATTGTTTCTGTGCCAGCTGTGGTTGGAATCTGTATTTGCACATAAATTTACAGCAGTATGAGTTGCTACATGAAAAATCAAGTCTTTAAAATGTTCTTATTCAATTGTAATTTAAAATTCAGATGGGTTTTACTCCTGTATATACAGTGCTGACGTTCAAAACAAATAGTGTGACACTTTTGTGAAATATTTGTATTTGCTGTCTTGCTGAGAGGCAGATGAAAAGACTGACATCACTTGTGTGTTAAATATGAGCTACTTCTAGCAGTCAGTTAGCATAGCATAGCATAGCACCAAAAAAAGAAACTGTTTCATTTTTACACTGAATTTTGTACAGATAAAACCACTTAGCTATAGGGACCTATTTGACCCTTTGAAACCTGAGCACATTGGCTTGATGTCTTTTAAAAACATGGCAAGAAGGCAATGAGAAATGAAAGAAAAAATTACCCAAAAATGAGCAAGAAATCAGTAAAAAGAGAACATTAAAAACAAGAAAATTAGTAAAAAGAAAAAAAAAAGGAAATGACCCAGAAAAGGTGCTTAAAAATTAGAATAATTCCATAGAAATAATGTAAAAATGTAATAATAATCATAAATAAAGTTTTTCCCTAGCTTTTTTAAATTTTTTGCCTTTTTTTAAATTCTTTTAATCTTTTTTTTATACATTTTGCCTTTTTTCCCCTGTTTTTGAAAGAAATCGCACAGGGTTCAGAGGTTTAGATAGTTGCAAAAGGTGCCTGAAAGCAGCACAAGAAAAATAATGTTGCTCCAGATTTCAAAGGGTTAAACAATCTATGATGTGGTGTAAAGTGCATGGCGTGAGTAGTAAAATACTGCACCAATCTGACTTCAGATCAGGTATTTGTTGGTTCATGTCGCAATCACTTTCTGCTGCCTCAAAACAGCAATACGCCACCAATGACCACATCTCATTTTAAGACCTGCATGCCCATCGTCACACAGACAGGCGCAAGCACATTTGCCGCCTCCACAACATGGGCGCTGGCAGTTTTATTCAGCTGATTGCATTATTTTTATATTTTGAGAAACACTTTGGTGACAACCTGATTACAAGAATCTAAACTCTGCACTGTTGTTGTTGAGTTCCTAAATCTCACTAATGTGCTGCCAAAAATGGGTCAGGTTCAAAACAACATCTGCATTCATTATCGGTTGTGTTTCGGCTCCTGTTGGGAGCAGAATAAATTCTACTTGATTTTGTTAAGTCATGCGTCTTTGCAGCCGAGCAGCAGTCTCAGCTAAACCCCGGAGTGTCAGGCCTGTTTTTGAACTAGGTTCCCCGTGGTTTTAAGAGTTGTACGAGCTACAAAAAAAAACCCTTGTCGGAAGTATGTTTGCGGAAAGATAAGAGCCGGAATTTTCTATGATGGGATTTTTAAAGAGAATATTTCAGTTGGTTAACAGAGATACTCTTCTTTCTTGTGTGTGTTCAGTGTTTTTTTCCTTTAAGAAAAGCAGCACTTAAGCTCCTGCTATCTGGCTGACATTATTTATAAATGGAGAAACCCTTAACAGGAATATATTATGTTTACAAAATGTCTTAAATTCCAGCTTATGCATGGCGTAGAGTATATCCAAGTGTGTGCATGATTTGTTTTTGTCATTGCAACTGATTCAATCCTTGTGTTCTCAGACAAAAGCAGCAAACGCTCCACCCAAGGCGAGACGGGAAGGTTGTTGACGAATTCGCCGCCACCGAAACCCAAAGCCATCTCTCTGGACCGGACAGATGTCTTCGCTACCGTCCTCTTCACGGAGTTCCTCAAAGAACTGGCTGCCATTGCACAAGAGCACTCCATCTTATCGTACATTCCTATGGAAGAGTGATCGTGTCCCAGTTTAACTCTCAAAGACTTTCAAAGACTCTCTTTTGATGGTGGTTTTCTATTTTTTTGTCCTTTTCAGGCACTACTTGATGAAGAAACCTCTCAGATTTAGTGATTTATGCGACTGTTTTAAAAGATCATAGCGTATTTATTTTCCCAAGCAGAGATAATCAAGTTCTTGAGCTTTTTAATTTCATCTTTTAGTCCTGTAAAGTTCTGTTTGGCAGCCGCGACGGAGGCCCAAACACTGACCTGTTAGCTGAATCCTGCACCAGCCGCTAATGCTCATAAGAGCAAGCTCCAGGTCCACCAACCAAAGAATGTAGGGAGATGATTTTAACAAAAACAGCATTTTTTTTAAAGCAATCATCAGCCCTTTTTATCTGGACTCCTCTGAATGTCTTCTACAACCAGCGTCAATAACAGCAAGATGTCTGCTACTCAGTGTGGTTTGTTAAACACTCAGGTGGCCTTTCAGGAATGTTGTTTCCTCTTTGCCATACGATTTCACACCATATCTGAGCACCACGTGGAGCCTCTGTCGCTTTCAGAGGGCAAGCCTTTGAATTAGCAGCATACAAATGTACTTTGAAGTTGTTGCCGACCTGCAGCACGGCCCAATCTTTCTTCTTATGCAACTGTTACATGACTTCATTTTTGTCAACAGGTGGGTGACATTTGTCTCCGAACTTTTGTGTGTTAGATGCACAGTTGTTTTGGTGTTTTTCTGTCATTTCACGACAGTACCTCAGGAGTCTTTTTTTTAATGTACGCTTTGTTCTCTCGGTTCTTAAACAGCATGTGGGTGAACTGATTTTCCTACAGTGCACTAGTGTCTGACATTAATGGGCTCCAGAGCCAGAGTTATTCATGCTATATTTAATTTGCCTTACTATAGTGATGCTTTATGATGTACATATTGTAAGAAGAGATGTTCTAATGACACAGGACACTATGCAAATCAAGGATATTTTGGGTATAATTACGTTTTGGATATTTTCAGAATGGGACGGGGTATTTAAGCTTTTATGAGAGTTTCTATTGCCATATTGTTTTTTTTTTGTTTTGTTTTGTTTTTTTTCACGAGGTTACAGTAGAGGTAGTTGTTATGATTCGTCTTCTTCTGTTTGGGGACTGTATGGTGGTGTTTTAGTTGTGATAAGTCTGAAATATTACTGTTGGGAGAGTCGTAGTTTTTGTATCTGTTGAAAAGCATCTCACATTGTAACGGTTACTGGGGGCAAGCTCTTGAAAAATCGCCTTTATTTTAGTCCCAACTATTTCACATGGATGTTAAAATTAGATAATACAAGAGATCTATTTTGTTACAAAGCATGCCTCTGCTGTCTAAATGGATTCACAAGGACAGGAATACTTAATAATTAGTGCCTAAATTATGATTTTAGTTCACATTATTGCCTGATTTCGAATTAATTTACACAAGAGTCGTACGAAACGTTAAAATTCATAGTGATTTTGTTGTTGCTTGTTGTTGTTTTTACTTGAAGCTGTCCATTTTTAGAGTGCAAAGACAAGGCCATGGGGACTGAGGACATGCAACACATATTCTGTACCATTATTTCTTACGTGCTCTGTTTTAACTCCGCAGAGGACTCTAACACTGCTTTCAAAATAATGTATTTTTTGTCTCGATTAAACCCATTTTTTAGGTGTAAAAAAACCCCCAAAATCAGCCACCATATATTCATAAGCTGTTGATATAATTTGGAAATTTACCCAACACTTAAACAGGTTGTACAAGTTTTATTGGATCTTGAATTTTATATAGAAAAACATGTCAGAAATTATAAGAACTGTTTTTTTTGTTCAGTTATAAAAAGGATTGAGACTTAAAGATAACGGACTCCTTTGATTACATCTACCAAAAAGTTAATGTACCTTTTTGAAAACACAGATTATTAGGACATCTGGTAGTCTCGTAAGACTACACTAAGTGGATTATCCTCCCATAAGTCTGGCTAATAAGATGAAAAATTGTGTTTTACTTTAATTTTAAACCTATATTTGTTTCTGTTCAAATCCATTCAGCTTCTACTTGATGCTACACATGCAACAGATTATGCAGCGGGATCTTTGTGTACTCATTTTTACAAAACAAAATGGCTCGAAAATAGATATTTGTATCAACCAAAGCCATTTTCAAAGTTGTTGAATAAGTATTTCTCTCTGGTAAAAAGAATGTCGCCGAGCACTTTATCAACCTTTTCAAACTGCAGTGTCACTCCACACTGCTGACACCTCAGCCAGCACAGGCACATTCAGTCTGTGCAACACACCCAGCACAGTATAACAATCACTGTTTTAGGAGCATTTGGGCATAAAGATGGGTATTACAAGCAAGGTTATAGAGCAGTTTCTGTCTCAGTAGGTTCTTATTCCAAAGATTCATCCTTTCTGACACCATTTGGCCTCAAAGTTCTGTCCGAGATGTGATCGGGTTGCTGTTTGTGGCTGATGTCTGAGACACAAGGCATGCCTCTTCTAATAAAGTCAGCCTCTGGTAAATAAAACTGGATGCATGAAATGTGTTGACTTTTTCTCTCCTTTTTACTCTTTAAACTGAACTAAGCAAGGTTTTCAAAACAAGAACCCAGCTGCTTTGAGCAACAACTTTCACCTGACATAATCAATATATTTTTTTCCATTCTGCCAGAGGTGGTTTGTGGCTGTTTGTTTTTTGGTAGACATTGACGTCCTCATTTAATACGCATTTCCTTTTCGTGCAGCCCTTCCCTCCGGAGGGACTTTGTTCAAAACTAGCTCTTGTTCTTGGGTAAACACATGAGCTTATATTCTCCATTCACATGCAATGACTGTGTGTAGAGCTGCAGAGATGAGCTAAACTGATGGAGAGCCTTTTAGCCTGTTCATTAGTGCACAAGGTAAATGTCTTTTTGCCACATTATTCCTTTTTATTCAAATCATGCAAATGTTTTGACATGATTTTTATTTTCTCCAAGTTGGATTTGGTGCAAAAATACTGGATATTTAGTTTCAAAATAAGACTTCTCTTAAATTACTACCTTTAAGTAAACTGCGCTGAGTTTACAAACCATTAGAGGCAAGGAGTTTAAGAAAGGAAGGATTGATGCTATTAAGATGAAGATGCCAATACCAGAGAGAATGCATGTTTTATGCACCATATTACTGACGGTATTATGAGGTAGATGATGTGATTCGACCACAAGAGGGAGCTCATTGATCGCTCTCCTGCCTGGATGTCTAAGACAGACAGGGTTGCTGTTGCTGTTGTGTCATATCAGCAGATGGATCATCTTCCTGTGTGACTGTCAGGCCTCACAAATGACCATGATTGCCAATATGGCAGCGGCTACTGGTACACAAAGTTATACTGAAAGTGTTGTGTTGGATTTTAAGCAGGCCTGTTTCGGGGAATTGATCTTGAAATTTTTATTTCCTAACATTATAAACATCTTAAAACACTGAATGAGTTTTCAAGTATTCATCAAGGCGCTTCATTTTTTTATTTTTTTGCAGATTTTACTTTTTCCACTTTATAGGTGACATCAAATTTCATCACCCGGTCAGTATGGGAAAACATATTTACTGTATCTTCTATCTATTTAACCGAATAATGATACAATACACTGCCACAGAGAGTATTAATCTGAAAAGCTTTATTTTAAACAGATAAATACAGAAGATAATGAATGTTCAGTATTTACAAAAATGCTGAAATTAAGGATGGTAGCTTAATTTTCAACTTGACTGTCACCAGTTTCATGCTGTGGCTGAGTCTTGCAGATCAGTCCGGCCCTCATGAGGTCTTCTCTTCTAAAATTGCCCTCACCAGAACTGGGTCAGCTCTGCCTTTGGTCTCTTTCTGAACAAGGCCTATGAGCTTGTTGAGAACTTTCTTGTTTCCATTTCTGATGGCGTGAACCTACAGAGAGGCACAAACACAACCTCAAACATGGAAGAAACAAAAAACAAATCAATATATAAGTGAGACCCTGCATGTGAGCCCTCACCTCATCAGGGTGCGAGTCCACCACCTTCTGGCAGATGCTCTGCAGCTGTGCGGTGTCACTAACAAGGCCCAAGTCCTTCTCCTGGATTATCTGTGGCGCCGTCTTGCCCGATGACCTCCACATCTCCTGGAACACCTGAGAGTGGTGGAGAAACCAGGAAAACAAAGGTGAAAACACAAACAAACACTAGCTGGTGTGTGTGTGTGAGTGTGTGTGTGCGTGTGTAGAGTGACAGATAGAAGGGGGTAATTGCATGGTCTGTGCAGCTGACTGACCTGCTTGGCAACCGTAGAGGAGATGTGTCCTGTTTCCTGGAGTTCCAGCAGCTCAGCCAGGGCAGAAGGAGAGATTGGGCTGAAATCAAATGAAGGGGTAATTTAATTACAGTTTAATACATGCACTGAAGAATTAGTGATAGAAAAGGTTGGGGAGAAGGAGAGAGAAAGAGTGGGAGTGTGAGACTGAGAGGACAAATGAGTCTATCAACATTTGTGATTTGACTATAATGTGTTTGTCTTTTGTATGTCTTCTTGTTTATTCCCCAGGCTACCAGACAAACAGAATCAAGGAGCCTGTTAGAATATATTAAGTGCAGACAGAGTTTCATTCTGTGCACTGCACACCAGACAGTCCATCTCAGCTAACCCTCGTCCAAACACGGCCGAGACACAGTGGAAAAATAGATGAAAAGTATCCATCTTTACACACACAACTTGGTTAGGCACAGTGTTTGTGTGTCAAATAGGACGCTCATTCCCAACCAAGGCTACTTCTGCAGCTGCAACTAATTAACTAAACCAGGAATTATAATTTGATTAAATATATACACATTTTGTGTTAAGGAGTAAAACAAACAGCAAAATAGTATTATCAATTAGCAAATTAATAAAATGGTTGAAATAGTTTGCTAAATTATAAATAAACTGTTGAAATAAGATTGCCGTAAGTAATGAATAGAGAATGTTAAGTTGACCACACACTGTTTGCACACACTTTGGGTGTGTACCTCACAGAATAGCACCCCTGTCCCACACCCAAATTTGCATTTTCCAGGACAGTGAAGGCATGACCTGCCCCACTCTCCCTGACTAGTACTCGTTGCCTTTGTTGATCAAGTTGGCTAGGTTAAGGGCAAGAAGAGTGAGATTGGTCAAGGTTGGGGTAGGAATATCAGGGTAAGCCAATCAGAGACAGACTGCGGGCAGTCATGCCTTCATTATTATTAGGAATGCAAATTTGCATTCCACATGGGAAATGTACCTTTACGTTCTCTACACACAGTAGCTAAAAGTAATGAATAAACCAAATGGCAACCTCTGGGGCTAAAAAATAAAGCCAAAAGGGAAGTGTCAAAAACTGCAGTTCTTTAAACGGCCGCTAGAGGCTGGCTCAAAGAGTGAGTCAATCCTCACAGACCCCCACATTCACAGCAGAAATAAACATGTTTACAGCCTGATGCAAAAAACAGTTTTGGTCTCTATGGCTGATTTCTCTGTTTATGACAACTGTACAGGGGGTGAATTTTTATATAACCCACCTGTTTACATTTTATTAACATTTTAATCAAAAGTTACACATAGGGCAGGCTGCTTTGAGTGACAGGCTGTCTGCTGATAGTGACCTTTTAAGTCAGATCCACTCACTCCTCCACAGCACCAGCCTCTTGTCCAAATATGGTGACCTCTGGTTCCAAAAAACTAAGATGACTATGGTCAAAATGCCAAACCCACAGGTTCAAAACGGGAGTCCACAAACCAACAGGTGATGTCATGGTAGCTATATCCATTATTTTTTGAGTCAATGGAATTAACGGTTGAATTACTTAACTAAAATTGATTAAGGTTTGAAATAGCTAAAAGTATTACATAAACAATTGAAAAAGTTAACTAATCTTACACAAGCAATGAATATACAGTTGAAATAGTTAGCCAAAACTAATGAATGAAACCAAGCGGCAACCTTTGGTCTGAAAAATTAAGCCAATGCGGAAGTGTCAAAAACTGCAGTTCTTTTAATGGCCACTTGAGGCTGGCTCCAAGAGTGAATCAATCCCCATAGACCCCCATGTTAAAATGCCTTCTCTCTGGCTAATTTCCCTGTTCACGACATCTGTGCAGGGGTGAATTTTTATATAACTCATCTGGTTAGTTACATTTTATTCAAGTATAAAATACGCATAATTAAGGGCAGGCTGCTTTGAGTGACAGGCTGTTTGCGATAGTGACCTCAGCTTCCTCTAGCTTCCTCTTCATCAGATCCACCCCTCACTCCTCCACCCGAATATGGTCACTTCTGGCTCCAAAAAAATTAGATGACAATGGCCAAAATGCCAAACTTGAGGCTCCAAAACGAGAGTCCACAAACCAGTGGGTGACACCACGGTAGCTACCTCCATTATTTCCTTTTAGTCTATGGAATAAACAGTTGAAATAGTGAGCCAAAAGTAATACACAGTTACAGTTACACACAATTAGCACTACACTTGTTTTCACATTTTAACAAGGCATTAACAGGTCTGGTGAGATCTTTTCCACTTCTGTCCTATGCTGTCATCAACCTGCCACAAATCAGCCACAGTGAGATTTCCTCATAGGCAGCTGCCAGCAACATTAGTGAGGGGAAACCTTGGTAGACTGACTTGTCTCAGCTGGTCAGAGCACCTGAACAAGCTCTTAATGACATGACACGTCTGGTGAGTTTCACCTCTCTGCCTGCCTGACCAATATGCTTCCCAATTTCTTTTTTTCCTCTATCCTACTCAAGGGCATGGAGCCACAGGGGAGAAAAGCAGGTTTGGACACATTCATACAGGAGAGCCAGCATCAACAGATTTGATAAACAGTCATCACGTGGACATACAGGGGGATACATGCATCCTCATCAAAACTCTTTGCAACCTTTTTCTTTATACCCAAAATGCTGGTTGCTGTGTGTAGCTGAGTTTCTGTTTCTTCCCCCGCCTGCAGCTTTTGACAGTCCTGCCGGCCACTCTTTGTTTTTCTTTAACTCTCCTCCTTTCAAGCAAAGCAAATGCAGCATCATGCATAAATAAACACCAGCTACTTTGTGGTTTACTCACACACAAACGCTTCACAACAGTCTGGGAATAGTAGATAAAGTAAAGCTCACAGCATCTGCGCTGACGTCAACCCATTACTCGTTTCAATTTCATTTGCTCTGTAATGACTCTGAGTTTTTTATTCTGACAAATGATCATGGAACAAAATTGCTCTGAGCTGAACAACAGGGAAAAATATTCATTACAGTTTCAACGAGCTGAAGTGAAGTTTCTAAAGTCGTGATCTGGAGGGTGACAGTCAGAGCTTCACAAACACAGCACAGATGCATCCGACCACCCTCATTTTCCTGTTAGCTGCCGTCACTATTCAACTGCCATTTTAAGAAAATTGGTAAAATGAAACGTGTTGAAATGAGTCTCTGATATTCAGCGTCTCCGTATGCCATAAACAAAAACAGTGGGAGACAACTAGTGTGCTTTTTTTCATAGACAGTGGCTAGATTGGCAAGTGTG